TATTTAAAAAAATGAAAAAAAAAAGAAGTTTTAGTGTATTTGGAAGTGTTTTTTAAATGTTTTATATGCATAGAAAGATGAAATCCATACTATATACTAAGACAAACATTTGACTGACACTAAGTAAGAACTATGTGTACCTGTTCCACCTTACCTACAAATTCTACTTAAAGATAGATTAAGGAATGGATCTTGTTTATAATCCTGGGACGGTCTGTAGACAGAGGTCGTATATCAATGCAATGGGTAAAAGGAATGGATTTTTAAATAAATGACTGGAAAAAAACAGTTATCAAATTAGAAAAAGACAAAATCTCATACTTACTTCACATCATATACAAAAATCATCTGCAGATGGATGAAGGGTTTATATGTCAAAAATAAAAATTTGAAACTTTTAGTAATAGATATAGGTAAATAATCATTTAGATGTCAGGGTTAAGGAAAGATTTCTTAAGAGAAAAATAGCACTGACTAAAAGAAAAATACTGAGGACATTGGCCATATGAAAATGAACAATTTCTCTTCATTAAAAGACACCTTTAAACAACTGAAAACACATGTTAGAAATGGGGAGAAGCTATTCAGAGTAGATACACCAAGTATGGGAGCTCTGGTAGTGTAGTGCCTCAGGCACTTGACTGCTAACCAGAAGGCTGGAGGTTCAAACCCACCAGCCACTCCTCAGAAGGAAGATGGGGCAATCTACTTCCATAGTTATACTGCCTCAGAAACCCAAGGAGGGGTCTCCATGAGTCAGGTCCAACTCAACAGCACATAACAACAACACAACAACAACACCAACCACAGGTACCTGCCAGGGAAATGGGCAAATGGTGAACATGCATTTCAAACAGGAAGAAGTCTATATAACCAACAAGCACAGACTGAGACACTTAATACCAGAACCAGTGAAGTGAAATTCAAGACCTCACAAGATGCTTCTTTAGACTCCTTCAGTTAGTGAAAAGCAGAAGGTCTGATCACTCCAAGTGCTGGGGATTCTGTGGACCATCGGGGATCATGGACACTCTTGGTGGGAGTAGAAATTGTCCCAAGTACTTTGGAAAACAGTTATCATCTACAATTGGACATTCACAAACCCTGTGCTCTAGCAATAGATACATACAGAAAAGAAACTCTTGTACACGTGTAACGAGGAACATGTACCAGAACGTTCACAGCAGCATGGTTCTCAGTGTGAGGACCTTGACATGATCTAAAGGCACAGCCAAGGAAAGAGGATGAGTGACCATATTCATGCAAACGCATGAGCTGCAGCATGACCTACGACGACACAGGCGGATCTCGGCTGTGTGAGAAAATGAACTGCAGTGAGACTTACGAGGACACATGCGGATCTCGGCTGTGTGAGAAAGAATGACCTACAGCGTGACCTACAATGACACAGGTGAATTCCGGCTGTGTGAGAAAAGGAGCTGCAGTGCAAGCTATGACAACACAGGCGACTCTTGGCCATGTGAGAAAGAACAAGCTGAGGACGACACCCAGTGTGCCCGGAACAGCTCACCCGAACAGCACAGCCCGAAATACATGCATGGGGAGGGCAGGTGCCTGGTGGAAGGACCGGCAGGATGTGGTGGTGGGCAGCCTGGCTGGGGCAGGCTCCAAGCACACTGCCAACTCTGTCATCTCCTGTGGCCTGGGGCCAGCCACCCTCCAACAATCTACTCATGTGTTCCTCCAAAGAACACCAGCTGTGCACCTGCAACACACAGGCATGGCCCCAGGTGCTGGGATCCGCGGTGAAGACAGCTGTAGGAACCCCCACCCAGGGAACTTACAGTCTGTGGAGACAGAAGACCAAAAGACAGACAGGTGGACAGCATGGGTGGACGTGACAAAGATACAAAGCAGGCAGAGGCCTTTGGGTTGAGGGGGTGACAGCAAGAGGGGAGCCATGTACCAGGGAGGGAAAACAGCGCACATACCCAGTCTCGTGGGGCGGACAAGCTGCGGGATCAGCCTGCCCATATCTTTGCCCCACACACTCTCTGAGCCCCTGCTGGGTACAAATACCGCTTGGACAGCCCTTGGCATCTGGGTGCAGCCCCACCTAAACCCAGGGCCCCTCACCTGCATCTGAGCCGAGTCAGCTAAGAACAGGTTCCCATCCATGCCAGTAGGCAGGGACCCATCAACCTTCAGAAAATGGAACACACAGTCCAGCTGTCAATCCCTGGCCTCTGCTGGCCCTGGGTGCTGCTCTGATGTACTATTCAGACCCCTGACCCCACTAGCCCCTGGGAGGCAGCAAGGCAGAGGCGACTGCCCGGTCTGCCAGCGGGGACCCCAAGAGTGACGAGCCCAAGTCTGTTCCCTGGCCACTGGGATCACTGCTGGGGGCCCTGGGCCCTGAGTCCAGCAGTTGTCCACACTGGCTGGCCCACACTGGGGATGGGCGCCCTGTGCACACCCAGACAGGCGGGCACCTCCAAGTTCAGCCCTGGCTCAGGCCAGCACCCAGTTGTGGATGCTGCTGGCTGGCCCCACAGTGCAGGACGCAGTGGGTCTCAGCCCCCTGGGGGACGTGACACGGACACCCTGTGGGCCCCTCCACCGTTACCTGGCACTCTGGGCAGCTGAATTAAAGAGCCCTCCACCGCCTTCCCGCCGCAGGGCGTAGCCGCCAATGGGTGTGCCCTTAATGTGTTTGGCTCCGAGGGCCTGGCAGATGTGGCTTGGGCCAGCACAGCCCTGGGCACCGGGCCATCTAGATGCTGCCAGTGGAGGGCAGGGGCCGCCATCCTCCCGCCGGGCTCGGGGCTGCAGGCCCGCGCCGTACAGCTCCGCTCAGCCGGCCGCCGCGGGGGCGCAGGTAAGGCGCAGCCAAGTACCTTGTTGTCTTTCAGTCTCAAATCTTCTGGCTGCATGGCTCGCGGCAGTCCTGGCGCCGGGTCTGGCATGGCCGAGGGGCACCTCGCTTTCGGTGGCTGAGTACCTGAGATTGGCGGGGCCAAGTGTGCATGGGAGACGGTGTGTTTCTTGGCCCTCTTGACGCTGACGCCTTCCACGCAGAGGTCCGACCCGCTGAATGGCGGCAGCTCGATGACCGGCTGGGGAGGGGCAGCAGTCAGGCCTGGCTGTGGCTCAACGGGATGATCCCTGACCATCCCATTGTCCCGGGCTCCAGCCCAAGTCCTGGCGACCTCACGTGTGTCTGTCTGTACAGGTTCCCTGCTGACTTTGTGGGAGCAGGCTGTCAGGCCTGTCTTCTGTGGGCACTCGGGGTGGACTAGAACCGCCACCCTTTCAGGTAATAGGCAAGAGCTCAACCGTCCACACCACCCAGGGACTCCTGAGTCCCGTTCAGCCCACGAGTAAAGGGAGCCCCTCCTCCAGCAGGAAAGCAAGTCTCTGAAGCCAAAGGGGTGCCCGGGAACCATTCCTCACTGCACCCCTAGCTCTGAGGAGCCAATGCAAAGGTCACAGACGGGCGCTCAGCTTCATTCCAGATGATTCAAGCACCCAGAGGGCCCTAGGTCAGGGAGATGGCACAGCCAGGTCTTGAGGGGCGGGTGCTGGGTGGCAGGGATGGATGGCCAGGGTTTGAAGGGTACAGCAATAGCTCCTGGGAGAGGAGGGGCTTTGGGCTGTCGATGAAGGGGGACATGGCATTGACACATGGGCAGGACCTGAGGGTTCAGAAGGGACCATCCAGAAGGGCCTGGCAACCATGGTGTGCCCAGGGCACCCCCATCCTGTTGACCATAGAGTCAGGCAGCTGGGATGAGCAAAGGCCAGGTGTGCAAGCAGCAGGGTTCATGACCAGGCCCCCAGGACTGCCCAAGCGTCTTTTCAGCTGAGGCACACAGCCTGTGGGTGAGAGGGACCAGTGCCATGCTAAGGCCTTCCACGTGCTCACCCGGCCCTCCTTGGGTCATGACATGGTCCATGCCCTGCATGGCCCAGCCCGCTGGCAGCCTGCAGCCCCGCCCTATGCCAGTGACCAGGGACAGAAGTGTCCAGACACCAAGCCTGAAGGTGACGCCCTAGGAAGGGAGCGTCAGGGGTCCAGGGCCACGGGCAGGGCTCACTCACCTGTTTCCAGAGCAGCTCAAAGTTGCCAATGTCACAGCTGTGGTCCAGCTTGCGGTCCACCACCACCTTGATGGTGTCCTCCTGCACCTGGGCACAGAGCTGGGCAGTGACAGGCGTGGATGGGTGCATGGTGGGGCTGGAGTTGATCTCAATGAGCCAGGGCCTGAAGTCCCTGCCAAGGATGAAGTCGGCACCGTAGAGCTCAAAGCTGTTCTTGCGGGCCTCCACGTGGTCCTGGGCCACCTTCATGGTGTTGGTGATGGCCCTCTTCATGGCTGGGTAGATGACGCTGCCCCACACGTTGCCACGGCCCCGGCGCTGCAGGTACTCCTGGAACCGGCTGCTCGTCCACATGTTGTGGCGTGGCAGCAGAGGGCTACGGTCCTTGGCATTCACTAGGTGCTTCTGGATGGAGTTGTTGCACAGATGGACGGCGCTGCGGGGACAGGCACGTCAGGGCCCTGCCCCGGGGCTAGGCCCCAGGAAGCAGCCGATGGCCCTCAGTCTGGCGGGGGTGGTGGTGCCAGGGACTGTACCAAGAAGGGAGACCAAGTGGGAGGAGCCCACAAAAGACAACAGCTGCTGCCGAGTTAGCTCCGAATCGCAGGCCCCGTGTATCAGAACACAGTGGTGCCCCACTCAGCTTGCAGGGCTGATCTCCAGGAAGAAAGCGAAGCCTTTCTTCCAAGGTGCCTTGGGCTGGACTGGAACCGCTCACCTTCCAGTTAGCAGCCGAGCATGTCCACCCTTTGTACCACACTGCGACTCCCCGCAGCCCACTAGGCTGGCGCACCACCCAAGGCCTCCGGCAAGAAACAAAACCCAGGCCTCGATTTCCCGATGCAGAGGGCTTCGGCCCAGTGCTGCCAGCATCATCTTTGCACCTCTGGTCCCAGGCCAGGTGGGCACCCCCTCCCATCTTGGGGCTGTGGCAGTAGGTGTGGCTTCCGGGGCTCAGCTGAGGCTCCCCAGGGGCCACCTCAGCCACTCCCTCAGTCTCACGGGCCACCTCTCCGGAGGCTGCCTCCTCTGCCCAGCAGCTCAGAGAGCTGACACCTGCTGTGGCCCCGAACCAGAGGGACCCCGGGGTAGTCAGAGCTCCCCAAGGGAAGGGCCCAGTCCCCACACAATGTGCTGCAGGGGCTGTGGGCCACATCTAGCCACTGAGAGGCCAGAGGGTGGCACAGGGCAACAGGGCAGAGGGGCCATGTCTACCATGCCCCACAGGAACCAGCCCCTCACACTTCATGGGGTGCTCCGAGCCCTGCAGGCCCTGCAGTGCAGGGCAGCCCACGGGGTGTGCAGACCTGGGCCCAGTGGCCAGCCACCACCCTCCAGTAGAGGCACAGCACCTCTTGCCGGGGTGGCTCTGAACCTTTGCTGAGCTGTGCAGCGTGTGGCTGGCCCGTGGCAAGCACCTGGCATCGCTAATGGACGTCCTCCGAGAAGCGCACAGTGTTGGGGGCAGAGCAGGGCTTTGGTGGCCACAGGCCTGTTTTCCCTCTGCACCCCTCTCACCATGGGACGCAGTGGTGCCTGAGCTCACCTACCTGTCCAGGTTGTCCAGGGAGAAGCGCTGTGTGGAGAAGCGCAGGTAGCTCTCCTTGTAGAACCAGATGGTCAGGGGGTTCCAGTCGGTGACCAGGAACCACTGACGGATGTCGAACTTGGTGTCGTAGATGAGCAGTGGCGTCTCGATGTACTTCTGGGCCACCCACTTGTTGTCCCTGGTAGAAAGGTGGTCTGTGGCCACTAGCTCCAGGATCTCCTCCACCCGGTCCATGCACACGATGTCTGCGAGACAGCACCGTCAGCCACGCATGCAGCCCTGGGGTGCCCTCAGCCTGCACCTGGCACCGCACGGCTGCCTGGTCAGGACCGGGAGCACCATCACCCACCCAGCCCCCAACCTGTGCCCAGCACCGCACTGCTGCTCGGTCAGGACCGGGAACACCATCAGCCACGTGTGCAGCCACAGGGTGCCCTCAGCCTGCGCCTGGCGCCACATGGCTGCCCAGTCAGGACTAGGAGGCAGGATGCCTGGGCTGGGATCAGGGGAGGCCACCCAGCAGGACCAGCCCAGAGCAAGATGCAGATGCAGGGATGGGAGCAGGGGCTGGGCACTGGCTGTATGCCACACTCTGGGATGTGGTGTGACCAGGACCAGGGGCCCTCATTGGGCTCACAGAGCAGCCACCAGGCAAGGATTGGACCCAGGGAGTCTGGGGTCTGGTGAGGTGGTTCAATGAGTGGGAGGGGGCTGAGGAAGGACAGGATTGGATGGGCACATACGTGTCCCCACATCTGCTCCCCTACTCCCGTGGGAGGATTACAACGCCCCACCCCCATGTGGTCAGTGGTGGCTGATGACGGGCATCTTTCTGCACCACCAGCGACAGACCCACAGCCCTCCCCTCTGCAGTGATACCCTGGAGCCTCCAAGAAAGAGGCAGGTGGGCAGAGCCTCTGCCGCCCTCCCATGTGCACACAGTGGATGGCAGCAGGACACTGCTGGAAGCTACCAGACCATGGGGCTGTTTGCTACGTGGCCCAATCTGGTCTCTCCTGACGGATGCAGGGACAGACAGGAGCTTGTCTGCTCCTCCGCACCAATATCTGCAGGGACATTTGCCTAAGATTGCTCCTTGGCATGCAGTTGGCTCAGACTCACGGAGACCTTGTGTTAACAAAATGCAACACTGTCTGGTCTCATACCATCGTTGTAACTACTGTCTGTTTGTCTCATGGAGAGTTTCTGTCATTCTCGCTGACCATCTGCCAACCATGACATCTTTTTCTAGCGAGAGGTTGTTCCTGATGACATGTCCAAAGTGAGCAAGCTGAAGTCACACTATCCTGGCTTGCAGAGCAAGCTCTGGTTGGGTCTCTTCTAAGACAGAGCTGGCCATCCTTCTGGTGTCCATGGTATAGTTAACCCTTTCTGCCAGCACCACACTTTTTAGTTTTTGCTTTTTTATTTATTTATATCATGATTTGGGTTAAAGTTTACAGAGCAAATTGGTTTTCCATTCAACAATTCACACCCATTCTGTTTTCTGACATTCACTGCAATCCCCACATTATAACAGCACCCTTCCCACTTCCTCCTTGTGGTTACCCTTTCATCCTTTTTCCTGTCCTTTCCTGCTTTCCAAGTTTTATCCCTGAGCAAATGCTGCCTTTTTGATCTTGTGTGATTGATATGCTAACAAGTACATCCCTCCCTGTTGTTACTGTTCACCTTACAGGCCTGTCTATTGTTTGTTTGGCTGAGAGTTGGGCCATGGGGGTGAGTTCATGTCCAGGCTTGAAAGGTGTCTAAGGGTCATAGTCTTGGGGATTCCACCAGTCTCTACCAGAGCAATGAGCCTGGTCTTTTTATGATTTTGAGTTTTGTTCCACATTTCCCAGCATCCTATCTGGGTCCTCTTACTGTGATCCCTTTCAGAATGGTCAGCAGTGGTAGCCGGGCACCATCTAGTTCTTCTGGTCTCAGGATCATGGAGGCTGGGGTTCAAGGGCTCCACTGGTCCTTTGGACCAATTGTTCCCAGCTTCTTTGATTCTCTTCACTCTTCTTTGCTCCAGACGGGTAGAGACCAATAGTTGCACCCTAGGTGGCTACTCATAAGCTTTTAAGACCCTAGTCACTACTCCCCAAAGCAGGATATAGAACATTGTCTTTGCAGACTGTTGTGCCAACTGACCTCAGTGTCCCTCGAGGCTATGGTCCTGAGCCCCATGCCCAGTGACTCACTGCCTCACCCTCAAGGTAGAGACCAGCTAAGGCTCCAGCACCACACTTCTAATGCTCACTGA